TAATTATGCCTTCTATGCCGTTATCCTTGGGTTTCTCTCATCAGTTGTACGCTTGTGCTGCTGTACCACTGTGTCATGGGATTGCGCTTTTTTGCCTGCGTGCCGTTGTGCCATTGTTTAGCTATTTCGTTGTGCTTTTATGCTGTTTTGCCGGTGTGCAGACGAACCGGTGAGCAAACAAGCCTCAAGCAATCACTACGAATCCTGAAGGATGTGGCCTGGTCTTGACTGCGACTATTCCAGACTGATTTCGGAGGTGAGCTTGGGTTCCACCGAAGAGGCGGAGAATTCTCGAAAAGGGCTGCTCGCATCGTTTCCATGGTGCATAAACTCTGTCGACGTCAGTGTGCAAGACTCGTCTCGGTATCTTCTCGGTTTTCCATACATTCTCGAGTTGTGTTTAGGCTCTGATGATAGAACAGACGTTTGACAGATTTGCAGCTTCTGTCATCTGTAGCCCCATCAATTTGAGGAGAACTTTCGTCTGTTCAGCCGTGACAGACAGCGCCAGAGCCAGAAGCCACCTTTTACGAAAAGATTATTTTTGTATTCTAAGCCAATAGCATAATTTAAAGATTTTAATGAAACCTTCCACGAGTCCCTTATTCTCCCTGTGTATCTGAAGAAGATCCCGATTTATGTAGAAAGATTCCGATCTGGATCTGATCGCGGCTGTTCCCTGGACAAATTGAGTTAGCGTTTGCTCATTCAACATATACACAATTCTTTAGACGTAGCGAAATTCACGTTGTGCGAACGAAAGTCTCATTTGTACGTTGAAGAGTTAATGCTCATACCAGTGTATGATTGTAGTGGCTTTGATCTGTCCATGCATAAGATCCTCTATGCACACGTCATTTAGATATCCTCCTTAATTGGCGGGGAGAGCCCGTGACATAACTACTGCCCACAGGACTTGGGCTCATCTCGAAATACGAGAATAATCCACGAGCAGTTTAATGATCGAGGATTGCGAAAACATATTTGTATACTTAATCAGGCACGAGGGTTTAACCCTTGAACTCGATGTAGACAGTGCGGAATCA